TATGTAGAACCCCCCCCGTTATATCTTATAGGTAACAAAAAAAAAAAAAAAAAAAAAAAAAAAAACCCCACTCAGTGAAAGCAAGGATTTGAAACTTTCCTCCAGGAGTCCAGGTTGTGAAGGGCAGGTTGACATTTGCACGCAAAAGAACTGACCTTTCTGACAACAATGGAGAATAAATAAACCCGATTCTGGGGTGGAAGTGGGGAGGGCTTCCTGTCATCACGCGACATCTCGCAGAAGAACCAAGGTGTCCCCAAGCCACATCCACAATAGTGCAGAATAAGCCAACTTTGGCTGTGGCTCATCAGCAGAGGATTTCTAAAAACTCACTCTGGGACAACTGAGCCCCCGGTGTGGCTTTGAACCAACGTACCGCACCTAAGGGCTCAACCTGCACCTTCGTTTTGGTTCCAAAAGGCCACAGGTGGGGCTGTGGGGGCTGCTCACCTCTCCTCCGTGGAGAAGACGAATTTCCTAAGCTTCAGGTCCCCCAGCACAATGGCCGACTGGTGACAGTGGGCAACGGCAGAGACAATCTGCTTGAAGAGCCGGGAGGCCTCTTCTTCCTGCAGCCTCTTCCGGCTTCGCACGTAGGAGTGCATGTCCCCAAAGTCCTTCTCAAAGAAGACATAGGCCTTGGTTTCCCCAAGGATCACCTCCACGATGCCGGTGATGTTTCTGTGTGATGGCAGCTGGATGTAAGGCCTGATTTTGTCCTGGTAGTGTTTAATGGGAAACACCTGCAGAGAGAAGGTGACCCACTTAAGAGGCAAGAAAAGCAGAGGCCACCTCCAAAATCCCAGGCTAGGCTGCAGTTCTCAGTGTTTGGGCTTGGTCGACAGTAGGCTCCATTCATTCACCCTCTTATGTCTGCTGCCCCTCCATATGCAGCCTCAGCTGTTCTTAACACCCCGAACCAGCAACCTCTAGGGGTCTGGGTTAGCAAATATACAACAGGTTCCCATATAGAAGGTTTGGAAGAACTGTCTTCTATATATGCTCCCACCTTCCACGAGGCCACCAGCTCCAGAGAGCTAAGCCCAAAGTCCCCAACCCTCTGCAGGCCTTCGTTGTTCGCAGGCAATGCTGCTGGAACTGGTTGATAGAAGGTCGCCCCTGGCATCTCCAGGAGCTGAAAAGCAGGCCCTGGAAATGCCTGGCCTCCTGCAGACCCAAAGTACTGGGCACAGAGAGAGCACAGAACATGGTGACTACAGCCTTCAAGTGGGAGCAGAGACTGGAGAACAGGCAGATCCATCATTAGTCAGAAGGAACAGATGACTCGGAGAGGCTGTGACACCACAGCCTTAAGCAACCTGCCTACAGTCTGGCTCACGGATAAGCAGCCTTGAGTGGAAATGTGCAGGATATGGGATCTTCTCCATGGCTCTTTCATTTGTTTATCTCCGCCCCTCACTCCCACCCCCACCTTCACCCAGGAAATGGGTAGGATCTCCTCTAAGAAGCTGGCTGGTCTCTTTAAGAGCCTTTTGTTTAGTCCGGTTACTCATATCCTAGACTCAACTGGAAACGGTGACACACGGCCTGTCACCATCTGGATTCAGCTATTATCTGCTCAGAGGAACTGGAAGGGGTTGCACAATGGCCAGACCCACCCCACCTCTGAGGCCTAGTTGCTCTGGCACCAGCTAGAAAAATTTCTCTGCTGCCCCCTCCTCCCACCCCACCCCACCCCACCGCACACACACACTCTTCCCAAAGCATCTCTTAGCCCACCAGCCACCGAAAGAAAAGATTTTTCAAAACCCTTTAAACTGGGCTTGATCGTGCATTTGAAATTTCATTCAGGTCGGACAGTAGGTGGCAGCAGCAAGCCCAGGGAGGTGGGGTGGTGGGGGGAGGCGTCAGGTAAGTCGCGGAAAACCCGAGAGTGACTTTAACTAAGGGGTGACCCTACCCTTCGGGTGAAAAGGAGCAGCAGCTCAGAGGGTTCTCGGGGATGTCTGGGACGGGGGTGTCAGGTTCCCAAAGAGTGGGCTTTGGGAATGATCTGAGTCTATGAGCGCGGGAGGATCTGTTTCTAGGAGTGGTCTCTCCTGGATGAAATCCCTTATGTTAAAAAAAAAAAAAAAAATCGCTGGCCGGAAAATAAAGACATGAATGGAAGCGAGGGTTCCTCGCCAGTGTGGGCTTTCCAACATTTCTACTCTGGGCAAATTCCCCCTCCCTTGGCTGGAAGACACCCTCAGACTGGTCTCTGGGGTTCCCATCCCAGAGCAGGTTCACGCCGGAATTCCCAAGACCCCAGCTCGACACGGATAGCTAAGCTTGGGTGCCTTAAAAACCCGGCAAGGGAGCGGCGGGCTGCTCCGGGCTCCAAGGAGGCACCCCCTGCAGGGCGTCCTTCCAGGACAAGGGGCGGAGGGAGCGAGGAGAATGAGAGAAGGGGAATGGCATGGCCCTGGAATCCATTTCAATTCCAGAACTTATATGGAACGCCGCGCGCTGCCCTGGGCGCTAAGAGAATAAGACACAGATAAAGCAATTGAACACTGCACTTCCTCTAGATCGCCGAGCCCCCATTAGGTCAGCCCATCGAAAACCCCTCAACGTCCCAAAGGGTCAACCTGGTCAAATGCTGCCTTCCCCGGCTCAAAACATTTATCTGTCCTACCCCAAACTCAAGCGTTGGTGACACCTTCGGCCCCCGGGCGACACCCCAAGCACCTTTGCCTGCCATCTCGTCACCTCCGACCCCCCAACCCCCGCGGGGTCGCGGCCCCGGGGCTCCTACCTTGCAGTGCAGCTCGCGGCCGGTGTGGATGCACAGTGCCCGGGACACATGTTCGCGCTCCGCCAGGGGCAGCAGCAGGTAGTCGGCGATGCGGCTGGGCCCCGGCGCGTTCCCGGAGCCGCCGCCAGAACCCGGCGCCGCGGGCGGAGGCTGCGGACTGCAGGGAGAGCCAGGGGGGCTGAGGTAGTCCGGGGGGCTGGAGCACTCGGAAAGGCGCGGGCACTTGGCCGCCACCGCCGCCGCGTCGTCCGCGTCCAGCAGGCGTTTGGCCGGGGCGCCCCGGGCAACCGGGAGCAACAAGGCCGGGCCGCGGGGCTGCGAAGCGCTGCTCATGGCAGAGCGCACGGGACCGACCCGCATCCCGTCCCGGGCCGGGACGGCCCCCGGGTTTGTACGTCCGGAGATCCGCGCGGGAAGGCGCTGCGGGCTCGGCGCCGCAGCCGCGACTTATTCCAGCCCGCGCGATGGAGTTTGCAGACGGAGCTGGGCTCGGCCCCCACGGCGGGTAAAGCAGGAGCCTCTCCCGAGCGCTCGCGGTGCACGCGGGGACCACGCTGGTCCCGGGGGCGGAGGCCGGTTCGGTTCCCCGGACCCCGGCGTGCACCGGCCCTGGGCGCCTGGCTGGGGGCGGCCGCCGCTATTGTTGTCGAGGCTGCCGACAGTTCCTGAGGCAGAGGCGGCGGCGGCCGGCGTTCCCGAGGTCCGGAGCCGCGAGGACAGGATTCCGCAGGCTCGGAGGAGCCACGGAGCAAATGCACTTCCCAAAACAAGTCTCGGAGCAAACGCCCAAGCAACTTTTCCGCGGCGCTGGGGATCCTGCGCGCTCCGGGGCTCCCGGCGTGTGTGAGCGCGGACGAGACGCGCTCGGAGAGAGTGACTGAGTGTGAGTGAGTGTGTGCGCCGCACCGATCCCGGCCAGCGCACTCCTCCTTCTCCTTTTCCTCCACCTCCTCCGCCTCCCGGTGACTCACGCTGTATACACACACACTCACAGGCCGGGCTGTGTAAACAGTTGGGAAGCCGGGTTGTGCAATGAGGTGGCTGCGACGACTCGGGCCCTGCCGCCTGGCGAACAGTCACCGGAGCGAAGGGGG